CATGAAGCTAAGACTCCTGTGTCCCCCCCCACCAAAACCCTAAACCTGCATTTTTTTTAAATGAGTGGACAAACCCAGCTTTTGAGAGGACTCTAGTACCTTTAAGGGATGCATATAAACAAACACTGCTGTAGTACAATGAGCAACAGAGACCAGTGAAACTCTACTTCCATTAAAGGTACAAGACTACTCTTTGACTCAGGTCAGATCAGGCAGCGCTGTTCAAGAGTTTAACAAGTGTGGGTAGGCCTTCCCCAGAAGGAGGTGAAGGATATTATTTGGTCTAAATAACCTTTTTTTTTGTTTGCAAGCCACATGAGAATGAAGTTTAACTGGATAATCTTTTCAGAAGGGTCCCTTCTTGGGGCTTTTCAGAAGGATCATTCGGCAACCTTTGCAAGAACATTCTCCGCATCTTCCACCGCATCTTCTAGTAAGCCCTTCAGCAAGCCAAAAGTTTTAACTCCACCAACTAGAGAGTCCAAGAAAGGGATAAAATCCGATGTCTCTTCCAGCACTGTTTGCAGAGCCATCCACCACTCATGTAATTATCAGAGTAGGTAGGCCTTCCATAGCAGGTGGTGAAAAAGATTATTTGCTCTAAAAAATGCATATTTTCTTTGCTCGGGCCACAGGGGAATGAAGGTTAATTGCAGAATCACCAGAAGGGACTTTACTCAGCAACTTTTGCCAGAACGCTCTCGGCATCTTCCACTGCATCTTGTAGGAAGCCCCTCAGCATGTAAAATGTGGTGGCAAAAGAATTAACTCCACCAAATACAGAGCCGAAGACAGGTATGAAATCGGAAAGCTCTTCCAGCACCATTGCAGAGCCGACCACCACTGATGTGGTCATCAGAGACCGCACAAATTCCGGGTTGATCTGGTTGGCCATCGGAGTCTTTTTGATAGCAGATTTCAGAACATGAATAGGTTTGCCAACCCGTTCTGCGAGGTTACGGAGGGAGTCTTCATCCAAGCCAAAGGCCTTGCAGAAATCTTTCATTGTGTCCACCAAGAGGGCAATATCAAAAATAAGAGAGAGACCTGGGATAGGAATCACCCCAACGCCACAAGACACAAGGGCTTTTTTCCAGATGAGGGCCTCCATAGCAGCCCTTTTCTCTTGCAAGTTTTCTCTTGAGAAAGCCGGCATCGCCATGATTAGAAGAGGCCTCTTGAGATCATTCAGGTCACCTGCTAGGGTCTTCTGCAGGAGAGGGAAGTCAAACATATTCAAATGCCAGCTGGATATGAGAAAAACCCTTGGATCGACCGCTCCTTCTTCTCTCAAATTGCAAAGGCAGTATTTACGAATCTCTTCCAGGGTCTGTGCCTCACTAAAGTTTGGCTTCCTTCTCTCAGCATCTATAGCCTGATCCACTTTGGTGCGAACAAAATAAAACCTCTTATTCATCTTTCGAATTTCTGAGGCCAGCATGGTGTCATTCTCAGTGAAGCGTTCTGAGGCGACGATGATAAAGAAGTCATATCTGCTAAAATTTACCTTCTCTAGGTATTCTTTTGGTTTAAATGCACGTGTCCCGATTCCTGGTAGATCCCATAATGTTAGTTCTGGGAATTTAGGATGTGGGTATCTTTCTGGATTCTTAGTTGTTTCTTTCACCCCAGTTTCAGCTGCACCTTCTTCATAATCTGTGATATTCCGAAAGGCATTCACGAGGGATGATTTTCCAGCTCCTGAAACTCCTGTGAAAGCAATATCGAGTGTCGTGTTCTTTAACAATTTCAACTCTTTATCAGCATTGGCTAGTACATCTTGGAGACGTTTTTGTCTCAAAGATGACTTCATCTCAGCAAGATCCTCTTTTATGGATTCGTTTGAGTTGGTTCTAGCCATAGCTGTTCTTCGAGATGGTTCAGTGGACCTAAATAAGAACAGAAGGATAATGTTTGTTACCTTATGTAGGATTATGGTGAAATGGACATTTTGAAATTCTAGATTTTATTGTGTGGGAAATTTTATTTTTAAGCATCCCTCCACTGGTGAAGAATTAGGTCTGCACTCGATCCATTTGATTTTCATGGTCGAAGAGGGGATGATGTTATTTAAAAGGAAAACACATTGCAAGATTGTGGTTCTCTTCAGCTTTTCCTTCAGTCATCCAACTTGATGTTCCATTGCTATGCCTGTCCCTACTTTTGCTTGAGTATGAACCTCACCAGCTAAGGGAAATTCACCTGGTAACTGTTACTGCTGAGACTGTGCGGTATTCATGTCAACGAGATTGTCTAAATTCAACCCTTGGAACTAAGGGCCTAACCAAGCATTATATGGTTTCTGAGTCTGCCCAGGTCTTGCCAAGTCAGCCAATTCTCAAAACTTACTTCTCAGGATTCCCTCTTCCCCTTCCCTTGCCCTGGTATCATGTCTTCAACTTGGAACAGTTTCAGGGAGCTGCTACTTGGCTGATTAGGGAAATGTATGTACAGCCCATCAAGACAGATAAGTTGCCCCAACAGGACAAACAGCAGCTCCCTGGGGCAGTTTCTCACTAGGAAAACAGCATGGTCCAAAGAACTTGCATCCCATGTCCTCACTTAGTGTTATCACGGTGAGTCTGGCAAACAGCAGGATGATTGGGGACAGGGAAATGGGGGGACAGACATGATGTCATCTACGTAACTATGTTGTTGCCTGGGGAAATGCAGAAGTGATGTAGGGTAGCTCTAGGAATCACTGGAAGCTCTATGGTAAAACCATAAAGTTTCTGATTATTCCTAGAGCTACCCTACATCACTTCCAGGTTTCCACAGAAGTGAGGTAGCAATGCAGCCAATGTTGATTTAAAAAAAAAATCCTACCACTACTTGGTGGAACATGCTGGCGGATCTGCCCCACATGTTACTGTCCTAATCCAACCAGGGCCCCAGGCACCTGAGAATTAAGTCTCAAAAATCACTGGCAGCTTCAAGCATAGAACTCTCAGCATCCATCTGCTTTGACAGGACCTTGGCCAGACTCAGAGGCCGTATGACACGTTCAGGCCCTAACTCTTCATAGCCCAGTGCAGGGTTTTCCCCTGCCAGTATTTTCCCCTCACAGCCAGTCTTCCCACACTGGAATCAGGGCCAAATGACATCCCCTGATGCTATTTTGTGGGAGGAAAATTGTGAGGAGGGGGCTGAAGACACTGCACCACAAGTCTGAGTTCAAACTGAGCTCCTGTGGCACTTTGAAAACAGCTGTTCTCTGGCTGCAGGGAAAGCAAATTGAGGTGGGGGGACCCAACCAGACCTCACTCCTTGAGAAAGCAATATCTAGTTGCCCTTCCTCAACAGTGCCCTCCCACCACCACCCCGCCCATTGTTCTGGTGCTTCTGTGTAACCCTTGCTTCACCCCCTTTCCTGCCATCTTTCCCAAACTAGCTTTGCTGCAACAGTCTGGTTGTCCCCCTCAAAAAAAAACTCGGGGGGCGTGGCCATCACAGCTGCCATGGTAACACTAGGATTGCCAGCTCTCATTGCCCACCACCCCTCTGGAGGCTGGCAGGAGAAAATAACATTAAAAGTTGCCATCCACACTTCCAGAGAAAACCCAGAAGTGGCATACCAGTGTCAGTTTCGCTATAAAAATAGTAGCACAGCCACAATCAGATTTATATACAAAGTACTACGTACGCGGCTGTAGGGAACCAATAGGAACCTAATGACTACAATTTATTAATCCATAAAGGCATAATTTGTAAGATAATAACCAGTAATAAACATATATCAAAGTCCTGGGGTTTGTCTCCTCAGAAGTAACATGTAAAACACAGCATCCCACTTCTTCATAAGAACATAAGAGATGCCAATGTTGGATCAGGCCAAAGGCCCATCCAGTCCAACACTCTGTGTCACACAGTGGCCAGAAATACCAGGGCCATCAGGAGGTCCACCAGTGGGGCCAGGACATTAGAAGCCCTCCCACTGTTGACCCCCCCCCCAAGCACCAAGAAGACAGAGCATCACTTGCCCCAGAGCCCCTATCTGTACCTTGTGGTTAATAGCCACTGATGGACCTCTGCTTCTTCTCAGTAGGAGAGAACCCTAAAGTTATAACAAGTCCCATAAACTGTTCTTCTTTCTAATAGAGTGAATGAAGCAGTAACAATTCCAATCCTCAACATTCTCCTGTCAGATAAGATGAATGAATCAGTGGCTGGGTTGGGTTGATGGCTTCAGTCCTGTTTCATTCCAAGTCAAGTGCACCATTGAATTTTCAGATATCTGTCAAGCAATCATGATATTGTCCAGGCTCTAGGTACATTTGAAACTGTATCTTTTGGACCAGAATAGGAAGGCATATCATTGCAGTACCATCTAGGTTATTTGCACCTGATTAGGACACAAGGTGATATCACAGGAGGCCTCTATTGTACACCTTGGCCGTGAGTCACTGGTAGTTATTATAATATAATTTTCACTTGGTCCTATAATGATTAATACTTTGTTTTATTATTGCAACACTGAGCCTACATGTATGACTGCCGCTTGACCACTAAAGAAGGCCAGTTGGCCAAAACGCGTTGGGTCACATAAGGTCCTGTTTGTGAATACTGTACAATTTTAATTCTTGTTGAGGCTACATTTGGGCCTATAACTGTTTTTAAACTATTTGTTTTAAATAGTTTCCAAGTTTCTCAAAGGGATTAAGAACATAAGAACATAAAAGACGCCAATGTTGGATCAGGCCAAAGGCCCATCCAATCCAACACTGTGTCACACAGTGGCCCAAAATACCAGGTGCCATCAGGAGGTCCAGCAGAGGGGCCAGGACACTAGAAGCCCTCCCACTGTTGCCCCCCCTCAAGCACCAAGAAGACAGAGCATCACTTGCCCCAGAGTTTCTATCTATACCTTGTGGCTCATAGCCACTGATGGACCTCTGCTCCATATGCTTATCTAATTCCCTCTTGAAGCCATCCATGCTTGTAGTCGCCACCACTTCCTGTGGCAGCGAATTCCATGTGTTAATCACTCTTTGGGTGATTAACACATTTGGATTTCTTCTTCAAAAGCCCCCTCATTTTACAACTACGTTCTACAACGGTTGTTATTAACTTGTAGTTACTGGGCGCTTTGTAATAAATAGATACATTTTGTTCGCCCCCTCATTCTACAACTACATTCTACAACTGTTGTTATTAACTTGTAGTTACTGGGTGCTTTGTAATAAATAGATACATTTTGTTCTGTTTTAGCTGTTCCACCTTCTAGGTTCCTGACCTGACTCCCAGGTGGTGGTGGTTGTTGTTGTACCCCCCCCCCCATTTTGCTGTTTCCCAACTCTACCACGAGGAACAGGAAAGACTGCAGGAGGAAGATTAGTTCCTAGATGTGCATATACACACACCTGCATTCCACATCTTCCGTCTGACCAAAGGTTGTAACACAACAGCCAGCAGTCTCTGTTTCTTGCTTAGTTGCACTGAAATGAGGAAACTCACACTATGTTCTCCTGAGCATTACCTACCTGCCCCCCCAACACAGCCCAAAACTGGCAGCAACTACCCTTTCTTCCCCTCTGTTCTCACTACACTTGGGAGAGGTAGGGCAAAGAAACAGAAATGTCTCCCAGTACTGACATCACTCACAAGAGACCTTCCCCAGGAGGGGGGATCACCTCAGGAAAGGAAGTAGATTGGCTTGCCAATCTCCAGGTGGAGTGTGAAGTTCTCCTGGAATTATAGCTGATCTCCACAGTACAGAAATTGGTTCCCCTAGACAAAATGGCTGCTTTGGAGGGTAGACTGCATAGAATTATACCCACACCCATTTTGTCACCCCTTCACACTATGACCAAATAACGTTCTGGGCTGGAACCTGTTTTTCCACCACCCTGTTATTCCAGGAGGGAGTTTTCAGGAAATTGTTTTCTGTTCTCATTCCTCATTCTAGATCTCCACAAACTACCCTCAGCATTCCTTCTGTAGCAGGGCTCCAGCCCAGCTAGATACTCTTGGCTTCCAGTGCGTTCTGTGTTGCTGAGAAGCCCTCATGTAGCCTTCAGGTATAACCCCAACTTCACATGAAAACAAATCCGGAGTTTCCTGGTTCTTTGGGCCTCTGGAAAATTGTTCCCCTCATTTCCCACACCTCCTGCCCTGGCAGCCATTTCTACGGCTCCTGATACCATTTCAGTAGTCCTCAGTCCGAGCCTGCTGCTTCCCTTACAGGTGTGCAAAAATGGGCAAGTCTCACTTTGGTGGTGTTGTTTTTTACAGCCCAACATTGATCCCAACAGAAAGGGAGTTTTAAAGCAGTTAGTGAGGCATTTTCCATTAGGTCAGTAATTTCCCCCAGCTACTGGATTTGGAGCAAACAGCAGGTCTCTTGAGGGTGGTCTCTCAGTCACAATTGGAAGTGTTTTCATTGTGCTCACCCAAAAGCCATCTCTTCACCCTTATTTTTTTTTAAGGGCTTCAGATTACTTTATAGAAATAAAAAGCTGAAATGGCCCAAGAACCACGTTTCCGTTTCAATCTACCAAACAAGCCACAATCAGAAAAGTTTCTCTTACCTTCTGGAAAGTCTTTACTCTGACTGACAAATAGCTCTTCTACCGAGTTATGCACAACTCTTAGGACATTCCCTTTTATAATCTCTGGAATGTTTCAGTTTTGAGGCTGACACGATCAGTGGTCATAAAACTTCCTGTATTTTATGGTGCAGATGAAAGTCCACAAAGATACTGAAAAACCGAGATAATACAGAACTCTGTGCTTTTCTGGGAATACAAAAGTGGGTTTTCCCCCCCCCACCCTGTTTGCCAAAGGGTGGCAGAGTAGACCAACAGTGTTCAGTGTCCCAGGTATTCTTAAATTTTACCCCTCCTTGGCTCCAAGCCGCACAGG